GAGAGGCACATTTTTTTTTACAATTGATGTTCTTACATTGCCACATCATAACCCAAAGTCCATAGTTTACATTACGTCTCACTCTTGGTGTTGTATGTTCTGTTCAGTTAGACAAATGTATAATGACATGTGCCCATCATTTTTTAGTGCCATACAGAGTAGTTTCACTGCCTTAAAAGTCCTCTGTGCATCACCTGTTTATCCCACCCAACCCCCACCAATTACCTCTCTTCCAACCTCTGCTGATCTTTTTACTCTCTTCATAGTTTCCCTTTTTCTGTGACATCCTGTAGTTGAGATCTGTGTCCTCTCCTTTTCTTAGTTAGCCTGGGTAGGCACCTACTGATTTTCATCAGCTTTTCAAAGAAGTAGCTTTTGGTTTCATTGATGTTCTGTATATTGATTTTCTATTTTCAATTTCATTAGTTTCTGCTGTAATTATTTCATTTTTTCTGCTTAATTTTGATTTAATGTGCTCTATTCTAGTTTTCAAAGGTAGAAACTAAGAATAGTGATTTTAGATCTTTTCTAACACCTGTGTTCTGTGCTATAAATTTTCCTCAAAGCTCTGCTTTCACTGCATCTCACAAATTTTAAGTTGTAGGTTCATTTTCATTTAGTTCAAAATATTTTTAAATTCTCCTGCGATTCTTCTTTGATCCACATGGACTTTGGAAGTGTGTTGTTTAATCTCTATGTTATCTTAAGATTTCCCAATTACCTTTCTGTTACTGATTTCTGGGTTAATCCTATTATGGTCTGAGAGCAGATATTGTATGATTTCTATTCTTTTAAATTTGTGAAGATGGAGCACTTCTGGCCAAGATGGAGGGGTAGGTGGAAATACTGTGCTCCTCGCACAACCAAGTTTAAGGACAACAAAGATTTAGAAACAAAAACACAACCAAAACAGACAGAAAATTGAACTGTACTGAAGTCCGACAACAACGAACCATTCATCCAGACTGGTAAGAGGGGCGGAGTCGGTGGCTGGCGGAGAGGGGTCATGGTAGGAAAAAGCGGACAGACAGACCCAGTTGCGCAAAGGGCATTTGGCAGATCCCAGGCATGGGGTGGCAATGGGCAGACCCACTGAGGGTCAGCCAGGGCGCAAGGCGGCTGGCTGACTGTGGTTACGTGCTCATATGCAGATAAACCAGGCAAAGGAATGAGCAGTGAGACAGACCACTCAACCCAGGGCCCCAGCAATGGGAATTAAAGCCTAAAAGCACCAATTGGGGAAACTTTAGAGGGTTGAGATGCCAGGAGAGGCTCCCAGCCTCATGGAAGAATTCGTTGGAGAGACCCACAGGGTCCTAGAACATACACTAGCCCACCCACCTGGGAACCAGTACCAGAAGGGCCCAATTTGCTTGTGGGAAGTGGCAGAGGGCACCAAAATCCGAGAGACAGCAGAACAAACACCACTGCTCTCTCTCTCTCTCTCTCTCTCTCTCTCTCTCTCTGACCCCGCCCCCACATACAGCATCACAACCCAGCGATTGATTGTGGGGGGGGGTGTTGCCCTGCCTTGGTGAATACCCACGCTCCGCCCCTCATACTAACAGGCCCGGCCTGACCAAAACATTACAGCTGAGCAGAAGAACAGCTGAAAGTCCCAGAGCCAATACTTCTAAGCGACCAAGAGTTAGCCAACCTATCAGATGCACAGTTCAAAACACTAGTGATTAGGATGCTCACAGAACTGGTTGATTTTAGTCACAAAGTAGATGAAAAAAATGAAAGCTATACTAAGTGAAATGAAGCAAAATGTACAGGGAGCCAATAGTGATAGAAACAAAACAGATTAAAATCAATCGAGTGGACCAGAAGGAAGAAAGAAACAACCAAACAGAAAAGAATGAAGGAACAAGAATTCAAATAAATGAGAGGAGAGGCTTAGGAACCTCCAGGACATCTTTAAACGTTCCAACATCCAAATTATAGGGGTACCAGAAGGGGCAGCGGATGAGCAACAGTGGAAAACTTATTTGAATAAATAATAAAAGAGAACTTCCCCAATCTGGCAAAGGCAATAAGACTTCCAGGAAATCCAGGAAGCTCAGAGTGTCCCAAAGAAGTTGGACCCAAGGAAGAACACACCAAGGCACATCATAATGACATTAGCCAAGATTAAAATGAAGGAGAGAATCCTAGAGGCAGCAAGAGATAAGGGGACAGTCACCTACAAAGGAGTTCCCATCAGACTGTCAGCTGATTTCTCAAAAGAGACCTTACAGGCAAGAAGGGGCTGGAAAGAAGTATTCCAAGTCATGGAATGCAAGAACCTACATTCAAGATTGCTCTATCCAGCAAAGCTTTCATTTAGAATGGAAGGGCAGATAAAGTGCTTCTCAGATAAGGTCAAGTTCAAGGAGTTCATCATCACCAAGCCTTTATTATATGAATATGTTAAAGGGACTTATCTGAGAAAAAGAAGATATAAAACATAAACAGTAAAAAGACAGCAAACTCGATTATTAACAACCACACCTAAAACAAAAATAGAAACAAACTAAGCAAACAACTAGAACAGGAACAGAACCACAGAAATGAAGATCACATGGAGGGTTATCAAACAGGGGAGTGGGAGGAGGAGAGAGGGGGAGAAGGTACAGAGAATAGTAGCATATGTAGTAGGTAGAAAATACGGAAAGGGCAAGAATAGTATGGAAAATATAGAAGCTAAAGAACTTATGACACATGGACATAAACTAAAGGGGGGAACTGTGGGGGAGGGGTGTGCAGGGTGGAGGGGAATGAAAGGAAAATGGGACAACTGTAATGGCATAATCAATAAAATATATATTTTTTAAAAAATGGTGAAAATATGTTTCGTGGCCCAGAATATGGTCTATCTTGGTGAATGTACCATGTGACATTGAGAAGAGTGTATTCCACTGTACATGTTATTTTTATGTTAGTCATTTGTAACCCAAAATGTTTTAAGAATTGAAAATGTAAAGATTTATCACCTTAAAAATCTTGTTAGAATTAATTTGACTTATTCTTGTTCCATGAATAAAATAATTTTAAAATAAATATATAATAAATAAAGCAAATAAAAGGTAAAAATACTTTATTTTCAATTTCTGCTTTTGTTAATAGTATTTTCTAAACCCAGGGAGTAAGTTTACATTTTTAAATTTTTATCCTGATTTACTTAAGGTAAAACAAACATGCTTTAATAGACTTTTTTTTGATAAGTAAAGGCATACCTTTTCTGAATATGGCAGTAATAGTAAACCAAGTGATGATGATGGAAATAATTTCAAAGAAATACAGAACAAAAGTTTATGCTGATTTTTTTGGGAAACATTATCCCTCCTATTTTGAATTCAATTTTTAGCCATAATTGGTGAGGGAATGTTAAAACTCTGTGGGTTATTGGCAGTGATGTACTGTCAGTTAAACACTAAAATCGTCAAAATTTACGTGGCATTTATAATAGGCATGACATAAATATATTCACAACCAAAAATGCATTATTTGAAAGAAGGAACATTACAGCTAAAAAAATTAACAGAAGCAGATCTTCAGGATTTCATGTGGTCATTAGTGTTTTGTGAATTTCTATTAAAAATTTTTTTTATTAGTAACAAATTCCTTTAGAGGGATTGAGCAAAAAGGAAAAAGGACTCATGGACTTGGACAGCAGTGTGATATTGCTCTGGGGAGGGGTTGTAAGGGGACTAAATGGTAATGTGAATTTCTTTTAAAGTCTCACTTCAGTTTGCTAACATTTAAAAACTACACACAAATGACAAAACAAAAGTAAACAATTGGAACTAACTACCAATGAAGGATTGAAGACATTTTGAAAATCATCATTTTCTGCATTTGCGATAAAAGTTGAAAATGAATATCCTGAGCTTGCTGCAATTGCTTTAAAATCTATTCCTGTCAGCATAGATCTATGAAACTAGTTTCTCTCTTATGAATGCTGTTTAAACAAAATATATGTAGTTTAGATACACCTCCTCCTTTGTGAGCATCAGTTCAAGCTAGTGTAGGGAAATTAACAAGACAGCCCTCAGGAAGCCCTGCCTCCTGGTACTTACACACCTTGCATGTCCACATTACAATGCAGGTTGACGTGGTAATAGTATGTCATTCCTGAGATTAGGTCAGAACAGATACTGCAGCCTCCGTGTTGGTTGCAACACTGCTTTCTCTCTGGGAGACAACTGCCACGTGGTGAACAGCCCAGTCAGAGGTCCACATACTGAGGAAACGAGGCTTCTGGACAGCAGCCAGGGAGAAACTGAGGCTTTTTGCCCTCCGACTTGTGAGTGAGCTTACAGGCAAATCTCCAGGGCAGTCAAGCAAGCCTTCAGATGACTTTAGTGTGGTGGCCTGTCGTTGCCTATATGCATACTTCCAATGAAAATTATGCAGTTTCATGTAATTCTTTGTTTCTGTTTATTCTAAGTATATTATTGAAATATGGGCCTGAATCTAATAACATATTTGGGCTTGTCTTTTGTATCACCTTTTTAACTTTTATTTGATCTTATAAAAGTATTGGTTCATAATGGATTGGACTTCTTTTTAAAGAGAAAAGGGAAGCGATTCTTTACCAGAGATAGTCTTCATTAGGTCCCTGTCATATTACCCTACAGTTGCCTTAACTGTGACCATGTTACTTTGTTATAATGGGTTATAGTCTCTGTTAAATTAAAGGGCAGAACCTATGTCTGTGTTTGCTTTTATATTTTTAGGACCCAGAACAGTGTCAGTTACTTAGCAGCTACCCAGTAGATATTGGTCAAAGAATTAACAAGTGCTTCTTGTTGTGCTGAATGAAATATTTTTTATTGTGTTGGAATAGTTAACTTCTATAGTCATGAATAAGTTGATTACTATAACTACATGTCCTTAGGTGAATGGTAACTGTTTATATTGAATAAAAAATATTTGGGACATTTTTTGGCTGAGTATATTAAGTGTACATATATATATACACACACACACATATATATATTTTTTGTTTTCCATAGCACAACTACTGCCTCTGAAGAAGAAATCTCAAGTAGATATCCCCGAACAGATAGAAGTGGGCTCAGCAGATATAATAGGGATGCAAATGCTTCAGGTAATTTGGTCTCAAGTAGCACACTGGAAAAGAAAATTGAAGATCTTGAAAAGGTATGAAACATAAATTATTTAAAATTGACAGAACTAATATACTATTTGGATTTCTTTTTTTACTTGCATAGCAGCTCAGAGAGAAAATAAATAGAAATTTGTAGTGGAGAGATAATGCTAAAAAAGGGAAAAGAATGAGGGCACTAATGGGAGATACCATTAGTGGTAATTGGTTATTTCCAAATGTATTCAAATAGCAGCTTTGAATCACTGTCTTTAAGTCTGTTGTCTAGATGCATGGTGGCTAGGCATTTTCTGATTTCCTTAGTATTTTCCCATATCCATTTCTGTTGATGCTAAAACCTTTAGAAGTAGAGGCAGTTCTTGTATCCTTTACTATTTAATGGCTACTCCCATTCTTCCATGTGCTGTCTTTAACACATTAAAAATAGCCTTTGCTTTTGAAACAGAAGTCTGTCTGTCCTGGCAGAGTATACTACTGTGTGTGTATTATCTGTACAGATTGTCATTTGTAGACTTTCTCTGGTTTCCGAATTAGAGCCCAGAGCCATCTTTGGTATTTGACATGATTTTCTTTAATTTTTACATTAAATTTATTGGGGTGACATTGGTTAATAAGCACAGTGCAATGTACAGATCATGTTTAAAACCATTTTAGGAGTAAACCTGTTTAGTAGTGTCTGAGAAAAACTTGAATGTATATTGGCATAAATTCTTCAGGTTTGTTCTATAGACATATAGCTTCTAAAATTGATAATGGTACTGAATTACTTTGTTAAATATTTTGTTTTGCTGAATTAAAATAACTACCTGTGATATAAAGATTTTTAGTAGAGATTTAATTTTTAAAGTCATTTCTTTTTATAGTATTATCTATTACTTTTAGTTCTGATCTGAGCTTTCAAAATAGTTTCTCTAATTCTAAATTCAAAACTTTAAGGAACACATAGTTCAGTACGTTTCAGGGGGGTTCTTCAGGAAGACTTTTGACATTCCACAGGGTTTGGATTGACTTGATAGTAGTTGACGGCAGTTGATTAATGAAGCCAGCTTGGCGGCTTTCTGCTCAGGTTGGTAGGAAAGAAGCCAAGTTCTGGGCAAGGCCTTTTCAGTTCTGCTTCTCTTTTGCCCCCAAGGTGTCTGACCCAGCCCAAGTCTCTGGATTTTAAGTAAGATTTCTTTGAGAAAAGTGCTACATCTTAAAAAAAAAAAAGAAGTAGCTTAAAAACCAGCAATCTATTTCATTTCCTTTGTTTTATCCATTGTCAGTTAACTAGCAGAGCTGGAAATAAAACTGAGGGCCATTGTTTTTCTGTTTAGACTTTTCCATAGAGCTTTCTCCTTTATTTTCTTTTTTGTAAAAAATTATTTACTGATTTTTAAAATTAATTTATTTTTCAGTTACAATCGACATACATTATTATATTAGTTTCAGGTGTACACCAAAGTACATTAAACTTTTTGTATTTTCAATAAATTTAAATTTTCTCAAACAGATATTATCTATTAAAATATTTTAGGAGTAATAGTGGTGATAAGCTAAGGAGGGGACTCCATTGAGTATTAGTATTTCTTAAAGACTTGTATAAACATAGATTGAATCGGAAACATACTACCTTTCAACTGCTGTATTCCTCTCAATCTCTGGTTTGTTTCTGGGATGGATATTTCCTTCCCTCATTAAATGACATAAGAGAATTCATTGGAAATCTTCATATATTTAATATACTTCCCCAAATCTGGCAGATGTATGCCACTTAAGATTATAGATCACCAATTACTTTTCCCTTAATAAACTTTGTAATTATATTTACCAGGAAGTATTAAGAGAAAGGCAAGAAAACTTAAGACTTGTGAGACTAATGCAAGATAAAGAGGAAATGATCGGAAAACTCAAAGAAGAAATTGATTTGTTAAATAGAGTGAGTATTTACACATTTCAGTTTCATGGTTCCTTTTTTTCCCCGATGACTGGATGAAAATATATAAATACGAAGAAATTATTTAATTTCATTATTTAGTTAATATTTTAATGAGATAGTAATTTGTGGTAGTAAGAACCATCGTTTTATTTTGTAAATTGATTTCATCTATCCAGTTATCAGTTGTATTCACTTAATATTGTTCTTTTGGGGATGGAATGATGGATTTACTTTGTGTTTTGTTAGTCTGGAGGTCAGGGTCAGCTTGGTCATCACCACACATGAAAGGCATAAAATTTGCTCAGTGAAGAACTACACAGCTACTTCCTGCCATAGGAAATTCCACATTTCTTTGTGTGTATTTCACACTTTTTTCAGTTGTATATATGCATCCTCAACTTTCCCAAGGCCTTTCTTATGATTATTTGTAGCTTTTTTTTTCTTTTTTGCTTTTAGTCCTTGACTTTACTGCCTGCTTAAGTAGATTTTAATAATGCTAGATTCGGCTTAGGTAACAGTGATGAGAAGAGAATCCATAGTTTTGCTTTTTAGAAGACTTGACTTTAGATAAGACAGAGGAAGGAAATGTTTGCTTCAGGTAAAAAAGGAACAGATTTCTAATCTGATCCTACTCTGTGAAAGAAAAGAAAATAGAACTAGCGCCTTCATTATGTGTAGAATGATAAAGATGTAAGGCTTTAACTCCAGGTTATAGATGAGGATATTGAAACTCAGAGTTTAATTTGCTCAGGGTCATGTGTAGGAATCACATATTCATCAACTTCGGGAATCCTCATTCTAAGTAAGTTCTTTCATCTGGTTTCAGAACCACAGGCATTATCTATTGGCTCTGGACTATGATTTAATAAAATCTGCAAATATTTTTGGTGTTGATGCTGGCCTTAGGCACTGTGTACATTAAAGAGAATAATAAAACACCTATGTTCACAGAGTTTATAATCTAGTAATGATATATGATACATCCTTTTATTTAATTCTAAATCTTAGGTAAATTTTAGTTGTAATAATTTCAGGAACCATGCATCTTTATTGTTTTCAACAGATTAGTTTTTCAACATCATCCATTTAGCTTGTAAATGCAAATTCTGCTTTTTTACATTATAAAGTCATGTACCTAATTGTCCAAAGACAGAATACTAACTATATCAGAATGCTGCTATCCAGTAACACAAGTAATATATTGATTGCTCTGGTTACTATTTTGAATTGCAAGGATAAATCCAAAATGTCTGTGTTTCAACTATCAGTAAATAGTCTGCCTAGAAATGATGTTTCTTCTAAAGCTTGGGGTAGATGGTCTTTGTACTTACCAAATAATTGTATATAAGGCACTAGGATTAATAGAGGGACTATAGAGCTAGAATCACATAACTTTGAAGTTGGAGAGTGATTACCTAGTTTAGTGGCTTTCAATTTTTGTAAAGCTCTAGATCCTTTCACTTAAAATGTCACAGAGAAGCCTAACATGTGAATTGAACTAGCTCAACTCTGTATGCCCTGATCTCCTTTTCTGTATGCCTCAGTTTTTTTTCAGCTGCTCACATTCTTACCCCACAATATGCACTTACGAAAGACCACACAAGGTGGTAGGAATATATCCCAAACTCGTACCTGGATCTTTTTGATTGCTAATTTGGCACAAGGTTACAATCTGAGTCCCTCAACCTCTTATCGCCCCCCTCATGTGTATGGTTTTGAGAAAAGGGGGATTTGTTTTTAAACAAAATACTAAGTTATAATCAAATATCTGAAGATTCACAATTAAAGATTCTGATTTCTGACTTCTCTTGAGAAACTGAAAGATCTGGCAAGAGTTGGCTTGTGTTACCATGGTAACAACAAGGAGGAGGTAAGTAGTGGATGCTCCCTTTAGAGGGGTATATTCTATCTGAACTTGTTTTCAGAATGTTCCCTCACCTCCAAATTAATTGCTTGCATGAATTAACTCTGGATGTGTATTTTTTTGAAGTGTGTTAATCACGTTTAAAGTATTTTAAAAACTCACATACTACCTTCCTTTTTGTTTCCTTAAGGACCTAGATGATATAGAAGATGAAAACGAACAACTAAAGCAGGAGAATAAAACTCTTTTGAAAGTTGTTGGGCAGCTAACAAGGTAGAAGATTCAAGGTTCAGTATGGAAAACAATATTTTAAAACTACTGATTGAATGTTATGATTAATGCTAGGGCAATATTCCTGTGCTGCAATACATTAAGTATGTATATTTATTTCTAGACAACAGTGGGTGTTTATTTTGGAAACATTGCTTTTTCATCATTGGTTTCAAAAGTATCTACTTTTTGTTTCACAAATAAGTAACATCTTTCAGTTTTTAAAATGATAGGTTATGCCTCTGGTTTTGTGTGGTATTCAAATAATACACAGTTTAAAGTCACAACCATTTGAATATATTTCAGCTGTGGTAGTGCATTTTCTCCCTAAAGGAATATATATAGTCTTGGTTTACATGAATTCAAGTACTTTTGGGATTTACCTGCAAATGCCTTATTACTGAAATGTGCAGCCTTTTATGTGTAGTTGTGATTTACTCCTAAAGGTTTTTGTCTGCTGTCATTTGTTCTTTCAACTTAATCGAAGCAATTTACAATAATATAGACTCATTATTTTGTAAAACAGCTATCTTTAAAATGGAAAGCTAGTGTAAACTCACTTAATATCATGTACTAGTTGGCTAAATACAAAATTGAAGCAATTACTTGAATTGTGCTATAGGAAATTAAAATGTACTATTTTGTATTTGAATATTGAAAAAATTGAAATCACTTTAACTTCTGAAGAACATAGATTTGTAATTTTAATATAAAATTTCTTATGTAGGTACTACCTTTTGTAGGTTTATAAATGAACATGGGATATTTAAAAAGTTGTTTTATTCATCAAACCTGGAGAGAGTGTACAATTTTAGTGTAGAAGTAAAAAAATTTACATTTTTAATTACCATATGCATTAAAATCAAAACCACAATATATATGCACACTTAAAACATACTTACATTACAAAGAGTACATAAACAGTACTAGTACTGAAATACTTTGCTTAATATCTGACTTGGAGAATAACACTGACATAGTTGTTCTCATAAGAGAATTATTGCCCTACCTCAAATTTCAGAGATTTTCTTCTTAACATTGGATTTTTAAAAAACAATTGTTTTGAAGAATTATATACATTTTCTTTTCTATTAATTACCATTAGTGTTTAGAGTTGTTTTATATTGAGTAAGGAAACCCCCTCCTTTAAAATAACATGTTTGCATGATAGTTTGATCTCAAACAATATACTGATACCCATTTATCCAATTAATAAACATAAGTGGCTTCAACTTATGTATATTAATTATAAGTAGTAAATGCATTTTACTACTTATAGTAATAAATACATTTTGGGTACCCCACTGATTCTGTTTTTTTCACTTGCCAAGCCCCTTCAGTATCCACTGTTAGAAAAATAGGAAGGGTGAGACGATTGGATAGAATATTCAATAAATGATACAAATCAGATACTGAATTCTGAAACTCTCTGCAGTGACTTGGATTGCACCCCACACACCTCTACCACTTTTCACATTAGAAGTTTCGACCTTGGCTGATCATCAGAATCACTTGGGTTGCTGAAAAAGAATTTTCTGGCTGTAGTTTCTAGATGGGGTTAGATTGAGACCCTGGACAGAATTTTTAAAGCTTACCATCTGATGATTCTGATCATAACGTAAGTTTGTAAACAGTTGCCATTACCTCTTTCCTTCTATACGTTCCATTGGAGACTCTGGAATTAACAAAATGTTAGCTACCAGCATTTCCCCCCTTTTAGATCATTTAATAACCAGGTATCTGGGGAAGTTTTCATATGTTCATGTATATTTATCAACAAGTTCATTGTTAGATTACCAAACTTGATATAGTTGCAGAAGTAGCGCATAAAGACATCCTTTTTGGAGACTATTACCCAGCATGGGAACGGTCATCCGCTACCCACTTGTCAAGTGGTTCCTGGGCCCAGTTAGTACTTTGGCTGAGAGGTACTCATCTCCTTCTAGTTTCCCTTAGGTAAAAATACTGACATTGCCTAGTTTCCCATCCACACTTTGGACGTCGTGGAAGAATGCTGTCAATACCTAGCCTTAAAATATTAGTGCTTTGGTTTTTCAGTAAAAAAGTATCTTAAATTTTCTACGTAATCTACATGTAAGTAAATAAATATTCGATTTCCCCTTTTTAAATTATACTAGTTATTATACTTCTAAAGACTGAGCTGTTTTAATTTTTTTTTCTTCAGTTTGTTGGGGACATTTTTCACACTGATCTTACATTATATAATAGTACCTAGTGCAGATGCAATGCCTGGGAATTTAGGCAAAGCTTTCATATGCAGTTCTTCCTTAAAGTATGAATTTATTCACCTATATATGTTTAGACTGAATATTAAAAAATAAAGTAGGATCTACTATAATATCCCTTTAAACTTATAAAAACATATTGAGGTTTTTTAAAAGGTAGCTTAAATACATGGGCACCACCTTAGAAAACTTGGCTGTTGTCAAAGTGCTAGTAGTTGTGAAATTATTGGTCCCATTCAGAAATAATATTTCTTACATTTCCTGGGAATTTGTGTCACAATAAAGCATATCCAAAGATATAATGTGCTTGATATTATTTTCAAAACAATAAGGTTATTAACGCTCAAATGAATATGACTTGCCTCCCTTATTTTTGATGTCCATTAACTTTGAGAACTGATGAAATAACCTGTTTCATTCTGCTAGACTTGTTATTAATTTTATTGCACTGCAGTTACCTTTAGAAAGGAAAAGAAAGGTGTTAATTAGGGTGTGTATTTCTAAGGGAAGTTACTACATGTAGTAGATTCACACTGTCACACATGATCAGGTAGTCTAAAACAAAAAAATTAAGTGTCGGGTAGATACATGATGCAGTGTATTCTTTTTTTAAATAAATTGTGGTAGAAACAATGTATTCTTAAGGTCAAAAATCTACCTCAATTACATGTTTTTTGTTTTCTAGATTAATCTGGATTTGATCATTAGAATTAAAATGCAGCATTTTGCATTTACTAATACTTAATTGAATATAATACAAGTCAGTGTGTTAGTCATGTCTATATGTTCATCACCATAAGACAAAATAGGAAAGACCTTGCATTTGATCACTGATCTGATGTCTAAGACAATACTCACAGATACAGTAATAGTCATCTTTCATCTTCTCTGTGGTTTTATGGTCTCGAGTCTGTGCCTAGTAAGTTCCATGCAGTGTTGGCACTTACATGCTTTTGTTAACAATCTGTTACAAAATTCAGGCATATTTTCATCTTATAAGAAACCAAATGCACCAAGGCTTTTCATTGTGGGGAGCATGTTATGTGCAAAAAAAGTAGCAATCAAAAATAACATGTTAGAGGCACTGCTAACATTCTCTTACTGTATCTGAACCATTCCTAATATGTAACAGTAAACTTCTGTTGTATTGGAATTATGCTTGCTCTCATAAAAAAGGGTATCCTGTCAACTAGGATTGTTAATTTACATTACTTAGAATTTAGTGACACTTGTTTTTTTGGTTCATTAAACTAAAAGCATGCTAATAAACGATGAACATTTTGCTCGCCAGCTGCCTCAACAAAGGCACTTCCCCCCGTTTTTCAGTGATGTAACAGAGTTGGTGGTTTTATTCTCATTGTAAAGACTTGAATCATTACCCAAGAAAACCCAAGTCTTGTTTTTTATTTTACTTAGCTAGAATCTCATATCATGTTAAAGTCATATCCTCATCCCAAAATAATTACGTGTGAGTATGTAAGAAGAATATGGATGAGAGAGTCACATTAAATTTTTATACCCATTCTTTCAGCAAGTACTTATTAATAATCAACTGGGCATACAGTTCTAGATATTACAGAATTTTTTAAAAAAATGGACATGGACCAGCCTTTTCCATCTGGCAGCTTACAGTCTATGTGATATGAGTTAGTAACACAAAATGCAATCATAAGTAGCATTAACCAGTCTGATCTGAGTAGTTCATTCAAAAGCATCTTTTTCTGTATTATTTGGCCATTGTCTTTTAGATCTGGTTGAAAGGTGACATTTGATGCGCTGTAGCATTTACTGAGTGTTGGAGTGAAAGACCTGGTGCATACCGGGAATCGCTGTACCATCTTTCTTTTACATAAGTTGTGTGTTATGAAAAGAACAGTTTAAAGGAATTTATGGAAGTAATGACGTAAAAAGACTTCAATGCATGTCACCAAACTGTTGATGTATTGAACCATGATTTTAAGTTAGTTTCTCTTTATGTATTATTGATTACAGCTTTGTTTTAGGTGTTTAGGTCTAAGAAACAGTTTACATCTGGGCGGTCACTTTGGTAATGATAAAATGTTAGCGATGATCACTTGATGGACTTTTATTACATGTTTGTTTTCTCTCCCCCTCTGGATACCTTATATGTGTATATTATTTTAAAAAATTTTTTTTTTCATGAACTTTTTTCTTGAATGATTTGGCTCTACTATTCAGGGTTTTATATTGTTATGTATTTCTTCTAAGTTTAAGTATCAAATGGCTGCTGCTACCAGCAAGGACCATGTGAAAGCTAAACTTTACTGTTGAAAAATCAGCTAACTTAGGTAATTCAAATATTTGTAGAAAACATCTGGATAACTTATTGATCACATTAGTATTGTGTAGACATCCTTCATCATTCTTATTGTATAGGTTTTCATTGTGGAGTAGTCAGCTTGACTTCATTTTAGTATGCTTTCATGTAAAATAATAAATACTCAATAAAAATAAATTTCATTTATTTTTAACATTGGTTAGTTATTTCCTTTCTGTACTGTTAGTAAAACACTTACCATAAGTTTTGCTTTTGAAATTAAATGCTAATATTCCAGATAACTTAATGTGCCTCTTAGTGAAGCAATATGCAATAATACATTAAAGTCTTTATTTAGTATATTGCAGAAGGAATAATGTTTAAAAAACAAAAATGCAGTGTGGATAAGATCTGAATGCATTAATGGTGAGGCTTCTTGAATAAGTAAGGAAGTGTACATATTACATATGTTCAGCCTGACTGAAAATTTTAATTATCTTTGTGTTTTAAAACTACATGAGTAATTTAATTCAAAATTAGAACTGTTACCAACCATATCTGATGGTGTTCAAAGAATTTCAGGTCCTTCATAGTTTGACAAAGATAAGTAGGAGTCTGAGAACGTGAAAATCCAGTCTTTGTTTTTTTTAGTAAATGGTTTACATAACTTTTTGCTAATGTGCCATTCTTCATACACCTGCACAAGCTAATCAGTCTTCTTCTAGAACTGAGTTAATATTTTCAGTAATGTCACACATGTCTAACAAGTGGACAAGTACCATTCAGTCAGAATGTTTAGACAATGTCTCAAGTCCTTTCATAAGAACATACTCCATTATTGGAGCAAGCCTGTTGAAAAAACTCATAAGGTCTCTTAGTCTTAATTGAAACTGGAGTCATTTATCTTAGACATCATCAAATATCTTTTTAAAATTCTACATTCACTGTGTGTGTGCACACTATTCTATCAGTAGCTGTAAAACACCTACATATTTTCTCAATCTCATGCTCCTAGCTTCTCTTCACCTCTAGTTTTTACAAGAGGTTTTGTTTTATTCCTAGTCAAGGTCTTGGGGAAAGAATTTATGTAAATTTTTCATGATAAAGAGATAGATAAAAAGATATAGTATCTTTTACAATCCATTTTATTTTGTTGCCTAACCGGGTAAGGTTAACAAGGAAGATAGAAAGTAAAACTTTCCTCTTAATACTGGACCAAATGTACAATTTTACTCACTTTCAAAAAACTGTTTTTACTGAGTGAAGATGATTTTAAAAGAAAAAGCTCTATTTTGTGTAAGATAGTTGAGTAATATGAGATAAATTAAGATAAGCCAAGTAGGAAAAGATTGGACTTTGGCTTTACATACTTGAAAGAAAAAATAAGACTTTCATCTGCTATGTATGTTTTTCACATTAAAGTGTACAACATTATTAAGTATAAATTACAGTCTTAATTCATATATGATCAGTTATTATCCTTGTTTAGATATACCATGGACCATGAAATTCAGTCTTTGTATTGTGTTACAGGCTTTTATGCAGAGAAATATTTGTATTCCTTTAAAGTGTGAACTATTTGTTATGATTAAACAAAGGTTGATTATATATCATCAGTGGGCATTTTAGTTTTATGGAAGCAAATTAAGAAAAATTAATGGAACGATACCTAATTTCTTTTCATTATTTTTAATGCAAAAGTATAAAGCTATCAGTCAGACCCAGGAAATTCCATTTGAAGAACCTTCAAAACACTTAGTAAGAATACGTTCATTTGATAAAGTGTTTTATAAAAATTGAACAGTTATTGGCCTTCCGTAGCACATTGAAAGTTTCATCTGCAGATGATTTAGGATAGTGACCAACATCACTAGTTTATGGTAAAATTATGCCAGTAATTTTTATTTGGGCCGTATGATTTACTATGTAAAGTAAACCAGTCAGTAACCAGTCAGTCAGTATAGATTGTAATGGGACAAGTAAACAGACACTTCAGAAACGTTGATGGGAAAAGTGCCTCTTAATTGCTGGTAACACTTTCAGATCGGTATGCCTTAAGAGGTGCAGCTAAACATAGCAGCCCAGTTAACAGTTCGAGGGTAGCATTAACCGTGCTTTGGTATGGCATAAAAACATTGCATAGAGCCAGGCATTGTGTTAAGTGCTATAAATATGTTTCATTTGATTCTTTAAAACTTACGCAAGGTACAGATTGGGAAGGGTGATTGGCACAAGGTCACAAAGCAATGCATTGTTGTGCCTCATACTCCTTTTTATGACATAATCATTGTTTTACCAAATATTTTGCCAGTGGTTCTCAAAGTGTGGTCTCCATACAAGTAGCATTGGCTTGGCTTAGAAACCTGTTAGAAATACAAAAACTTGGGCCCCACCCAACACCTTAATGAGGTGTGAGGCCTAGCAATCCATGTTCAAACATGCCCTTTCAGTGATTCTGATGCAGGTCAAAGCTTGCAAATTTGCATTATGCATGTTTATTTTTAAGCAAAGATTTTGGGTTTTCTTTTTGGACAGCACATAAATAATATAATAATATAACATGGACTTGTAAAAAAATAAATGATTTTTATATTGTTGCTTACATTGCAAAAGATCGTATCAGGAAAAGCTTCAGCGTGGATGTTGGCAGTTTGACATAACCCATTAGTTTAGTATTATCTCTGGAACTCACATGAATTCTGAAGTCCCAGAGACTGTGGAATGAAATCTTTGTTTTTTCATGAAGGTCAATCTCTGTTATTTCCTGAAGATTTTTGTTAACCATAATGCATTTTTGTTAAATTTTAAAACTTTATTGAAGCAAATAAATGTTTGTTTCACTGGAGTTGTAGTTTTGGTTGTTGTTTTGCATGTACAGACACTGTGGGGTGGTCCATGGGGAGATTGAATTTGCAGTTTACTCTCCGTGAACTCAGAAAATCAATAACATTTTTTAACTAATTGATCAGTGGGGAGAAGTCCACAACAATGAATCCCAGTGAGTACAGAAAAAATATCGTTTAAAATCATTTTTAAATACAATGAGATAGTTACATAAGCTACTTTTTAGTCTTTAAAAACTTTAGAGCAGTTTTAGATTACAGAATTATTATGAAGATAGTTCAGAGTGCTCAAATAACCGTTACTAATGTCTTACATTAGAATGGTGCGTTTGTCACATTTGGTGAACTGATATTGATACATTATTATTTACTGAAGTCTGTACTTGACTCAGATTCCTCTGTTTTTCCCTACTGCCCTTTCTTTGGTCCAGGGTCCCAGGACACCACTGCACATTGAGTCCTCTTGTCTCTCTACGCTCCTCTTAGTTGAGACAGTGTCTACACTTGCCTCATTTTAGACGACCTTGACAGTTTTGAAGATTACTAATCACATATTTTTCACTTCTTACTGTGAACATTTTCAGATATGCACAAGAGTAGAGAAAATATCCCTTCCTTGCTGATATTATTTTATCTCTCCTTTTTTAAGGCTAGGATATTTTAAAGGTAAATTCCAAGCATCCTACCATTTAACCTGTAAATATTAGAGTATGTATCTCTAATAGATAAGGACTTAAAAATAACCACAGTATTATTATGCCTAACAAATTTAATTTTTTTATATCTGTTCAGTTCCTCCTGAGAGGCAGGAATGCAAGAGATTTATTAAGAGAACACCTGTGAAGGAAATGGGGCAGGCGCTGGGGACTCGGGGAGGCCTCAGCACAGATCTGCCTCAGTGTGAGGGAGAGAGGGAAGGGGGTTGAGCAGAAGTCTTCATTCACAGAACATTCCAAAGAAGGTTTTTAAATTTATTTATTTATTTATTCTTGAGAGAGAGGGGAAGGGAAGAAGAAAGAGTGGGAGAGAAACATCAGTGTGTGGTCCCACTGGGGACCTGGCCTGCAACCCAGGCATGTGCCCTGACTGGGAATTGAACCAGCGACCCTTTGCTTCACAGATCCATGCTCAATCCACTGAGCTACACCAGCCAGAGCTCAAAGAACGTTTTAGCAAGGCTGTCAGTCCTCAAGACAGAAGTGCTGTTTCTCAAGAGACCCACGTCTTGCAGGAATGTGCTTGCCTTTGTACCCCTGCTCTGCTCCTTTGTTAAGTAAACACCCTAGGAGACTGGGTAGGCTCATTTTCTTGGCCACCATAGCATGTAACACTTTGTATTCAAATTCCCCCTCTAATTTCCCCCAGATACCCTCCAAATGCCCTTTTAGTCTTAGTTTATTTAAATAAAGATCCAAATGCAAGTCACTCATTACATTTGGTTAATATATCTTAGTCTTTTTTTAAGCTATAAATGATACACACCTTTGTTTTTATGCCATTTTTTTCACATTGAAACTAGATTATTTGCTCTGTAGAATTTTCTACGTTTTGCATTTCACTGATTGTATCTTTAAGATTAACCTACCCCTCCCATCCATTTTCTGTAAATTGTTAAATAGGCATAGAGGCTTTATTGGATTCTCTATTACATAGGTGGTTTGTATTGGGTTGGCCAAAAGGTCCATTTAGTTTTTTCCATAAAAGACATGTTTTTCACTTTTACCAATAACTTGACTGATTTGCATACTTTGAGTATGCCAGCTATCTCCCAGATGGGGTAGGGTTGGTTGTTTTCAGTTAACGTCTGGATTTGGTCGCTGTCAACTTCGACGGGTCTGCCTGACTGTAGAGCATCATCCAGCGAGAAATCTCTACCACGAAACTTTGCAAAACACTTTTGACACATTCGATCAGTCACAGCCCCTTCTTCATACACCACACAAACCTTTTTTTGCATTTCAGGAGAGATTTTACCTTTCTTGAAATAATAAAGCATAATATGCCACAAATGTTGCTTATTTTCTTCCATCTTTGATATTAAAATGACTACACAAACAATCACCGATTGTGATGTTTTTTTTCAGTGCATGCTGATGTGACAGCCAGCACAGTACAATCTAACAAAATTGTTTCGAATGAAGTTAAAGACAGCTAAGAGCTACCAGAGCCATCCTACAGAAGGAAAAAAAAACAAACTTTTTGACTAACCCTGTACTTCCAGTTGAATTACATCAGAAGGTACATAATGTCTGGTTGTCTCGCTTTCAGTGATGCTCAGATCGATGAACAGATTTGGATGCTGTTAGCTTGACGACTCTGTTGTCAAGTTCCCTGTCAGCCATTTCTGTGCCGGTTTTAGGAAACATCGGTAATTATTGGCCAGATCCAATATGTCATCAGGTGTGGAAAGCGACGGGTTTCTAATTCCATCCTTCTAGTTGACATTAGTAATTGGAATTCTTCAAAGGGAAGCTTTCCTTCATCAGTTGCTTGGTTTCCCTAAGATACAAGAAAGAGGAGATCATATTGATCCTTTCCCTTTATTTACTAATTTTGCAGTAATGGACCAGAGCCCCAGCAACCTCCAGAGGTAAGTTGTGTTTGTGTGTTTAACTTGTTTTCATCTATTGCAGTCATTATTTTGCAAGTCATTAGTGTCAGAATTGTCCCAGGTTTGGCGAGTGGAAGACCCTTCCAGGTTGCCTCCTGTCTCCTTCCGGTTGTCGGTAGCTTGCTTGTTTTCTGCCATAAGGTGTTCGAGTCTTATCTTGTCCATTCCTTTTTCAGGACCTAGAATCAAGAGCTACCTTTCTTTGTAGAAAATGAAACCTTTGATAACCGTGTAAATTATCAGATGCTATAAAATCCAGAGGGCATTTATGATCTCTTCATAACTGTAAAATCTAACATTTTCCAATGACTGCCTTTACTGGAAAATTTTAAGATGACAGAAGTCTGCTTGTTTCTATGCCATTTCTCATTTATTTTCTCACTTTCTGTGCAAATGTTAGAGCATGCATGTATATCTTCATATTTTATTTCTGAAAATTTAAATCGATTTATGCCTGATGAGAAACTCAAGGGGTTGGTTATAAAAGTCAAGATTTTTTTTGAGTAGTTAAATCACTTTAAAGTGGTATTCGAATTAGAATGGAGCCACATAGTATGTAAAAATGCATAGCTCTTATTACATCAGAGCTCATGTAATAATTAAGCTAAATTCATAATAAAAGAGAGTTGCCCAAATTACAGTCTTTGCCCCACACATTAAAATTGGACCCAAACTCCACAGTTTCAGTTAAGACCAGACACACTTCCTTCCCTAGTCACATCTGAGTGAGAGGCGGGGTGGGGGTGGGGTGAGGGGGGCAGCCATTGTCAGGTTTTTACAGTGGACCACGATGCAGTCCTGGAGTCCTCACAGTCCTGGGTGGGAGGAGAAGGAGTGATGGATGAGAGCTTGAGGCACTTGTAGAGTTGCCCTGTGACTGAACCAAGAGTTCTTGCAGTGGTCAGAACGAACCCCGGTGCTGGCAAAGCCTTTCCTCTGCTCCTGCCAGTCGCTCCATCCAGACCAAGGAGCAGCTCTTCCCTTCCAGAATATGAAAACCAGTTTTAGTTTAGGGTTCTTACGTTTTGTATCTTATATTGGTTCATAAATATTTATTACATACTACGTTGTGCTAGGCTCTGTTCTAGGTACTAGGGACATAGCCGTGAACAAAGAAGATTTTGTACTACACCATTTTATTCTTGGTTGCTCAATAAAAGGGTGCTGACATAGGGTTGAGGACTGGTAGCTTCTCAGACTGTGCTTTGGACCGCTCCAAAAGATGAGAACTGAAATCCACTTATGTTCTGACACAGTGGCCTCAATATATGTCACAGCCTGTAGTTGATGTTATAAAACATCATGCTGATTTGTCTAATGTTTTGGAAAAGACATTTATTTTCCTAATCTTGAGAAAGTAGGAGTGATTGGGGATTTAGAACATAAATTTATATTTTATTAATGTATTATATTAATTTTTTGTCCTAAAATGTTTTTTGTTTTTTAAATATATTTTATTGATTATGCCATTACAGTTGTATTCCCCCCTTCATTCCCCTCCACCCTGCACACCCCCTCCCTCACCATTTCCCCCCTTTAGTTTATGACCATGTGTCTCAAGTTCTTTAAATTCTATATTTCCCCTTCTATTCTTGCCGTCCCCCTATCTATTTTCTACCTACCGTCTATGCTACTTATTTTCTGTACCATCTCCCCCCTTCTCCTCCTCCCACTCCCCTGTTGCTAACCCTCCATGTGATCTCCATTTCTATGGTTCTGCTCCTGATCTAGCTGTCCTCTTAGTTTGCTTTTGTTTTAGGTGTGCTTGTTAATAACTGTGAGTTTCCTGTCCTTTCACTGTTCATCTTTTTTATCTTCTTTTTCTTAGATAAGTCCCTTTAACATTTCATATAATAAGGGCTTGGTGATGATGAACTCCTTGAACTTGACGTTATCTGAGAAGCACTTTATCTGCCCTTCCATTCTAAATGAAAGCTTTGCTGGATAGAGCAATCTTGGTTGTAGGTCTTTGGATTTCATGACTTGGAATACTTCTTTCCAGCCCCTTCTTGCCTGCAAGGTCTCTTTTGAGAAATCAGCTGACAGTCTGATGGGACCTCCTTTGTAGGTGACTGTCCCCTTATCTCTTGCTGCTTCTAGGATTCTCTCCTTCATTTTAATCTTGGCTAATGTAATTATGATGTGCCTTAGTGTGTTCTTCCCTGGGTCCAACTTCTTTGGGACTCTCTGAGCTTCCTGGATTTCTTGGAAGTTTATTGCCTTTGCCAGATTGGGGAAGTTCTCTTTTATTATTTGTTCAAATAAGTTTTCCACTTGCTCTTTCTCTTCCCCTTCTGATACCCCTATCATTTGGATGTTGGAATGTTTAAAGATGTCCTGAAGGTTCCTAAGCCTCTCCTCATTTTTTTGAATTCTTGTTTCTTCATCCTT